TCTCTCTCTCTCTCTCTCTCTCTCTCTCTCTCTCTCTCTCTCTCTCTTAATAGATAGAATATAACAGAATCAAAATAGTCGGAAACGATTTTAGTATCGAAGAGAATTTATTAAAAGTTACTTGTCTCACCCGCGCATGACGTTGGTGCAAAGTTTATGGGTTAGCGTGTAAACGTAAATGTAAACTTGGAGGGCGCGTTGAACTTCAAGCGAATACCACGTTAATAGCCTCGTTGACGGATTTGACCTGTTAATTAGATGTCAATCTTCTGACAGTTTCGGGCAACGAGAACTAAGGCGCTTGCATACCTTCGTCTTGTACCGAAGATGGTGGTTGACGGTTGAAAATAGACGCAATTACCCGGGGTATCTCAAGCTCCGACTTTAATGTAATTCGGGAACAAATTTAGCAATAAAAATATGTTTAGGATGGCAGATGTAGGAGAAAACTCCAGGTAGCGTTTCGAGATAAGAAAACCTTACCTTTGTTTTGAAATTCCGACGACGTCTCCTCCGCAGCCGCGCCCATTCGGCGAGTCCTTAGCACCATCAGCAGACTCGTCAGAAATACGTATCCCGACGCGCAGCGCATTTCGATATCGTCTTCTATCTGGTTCAGGTGTCGCGATGGCTGCACTCAACACGTCGGATCCGCTCACCCGTCACAGGGCGCAACATTCGATCTCGATCGATCAAATTGAGTTTTCCAAATATAAGCCGCAAAATTGATTCAGCGACAGTCCTTCTCGCGAGGCAGACACGGATCCGAGAACAATTTCGATCGCGCCACTTCCACGATCGATCGCGACCACTCGAAGGACTCGGAAAATCCAGGCATTCTCGACGTCCTCGCGATTTGATTGTCTTTAACGCTCGTATAACGTTGCGCCGGTCCTTTGCGTTATATTAATAACAAATATTTATACATTAATAAATAATTATTTTTATATTATTTGTAGTCACCACACGATCTATGATCTCGATCTGAATCCTAATTTTTTTTCAATCGCTATGTCTCACTTCAAAATAGTTTAATTAGAATTATAAGAAGTCCCTGTGTTTTCTCCACGCCCTTTCGTAACTGTGTTTGATTTGCACGAAAAATCCTTTTGGATTTCTCTCCCTTCTTAAAATTTTCAATCTTCCGCAAACATATCAGTATTCGACGGCAGTTCAATAATATTTATTCATTTATTCAACGGTGGACCCTTATTCTTTGTCGGTTCTATTCAGTCGAAAGTACAAAAAGCCACAGGCGCCAGCGACACAATTCACGATCTCCTGGTCCTTCGACGAGTTCTTTCACGCGCCCGCCCTTTTCTCCTCCCCTCGCTCGTTATTAAGCCGGACGCGTGTGTCTCGAAATCTTTTGATTAACAAAACCAGTCGGTATTTTTCCGGCTTTCTTTGTGTGCCTTTCTTTCCTCGTTTCTTCCCGTCGAAACTCCTCGCCTTACGGCATTCGATCTGGTCGTCGTCCTCTTCGTCCGCTTTGACTTCCTCTAACGTTCGCGCTTTTTCCTCCTCCTTCGCCGCCCTCTCGAGGAATTTCAACTTTGATCCTACGTCTCGGGCGCGTGCCTTTTGCGCGCCGCTTTTTACCACCGATCCCCCTTACTTCGCTTCTGACGTTATTCTTGGTAGGTGGTCCTTCTTTTGCGCGCCGCGCGCGGTTTAATTTAGAGACGCGCTCAGGTGGCACTATCGCGCGTCACTTTCACGCTTCTTTATTAGCAGCGTTAATAATTATCGTCTGTATTCTCTGTCACCGATGTCTTGAATTTAATGTCAGAGAAATCGAATATCTTCGAATATAATGGGGTCTCTCAAACTAAATAAATCGAGAATGAGGTTTAGAGATTAAAAGAATAATTTTCTAAGCTCTCCAAAGGAAGAATTGGCCAACAATTAACACTTCAGCGTTTTAAAAGAGAAAATTTATCTTATTAGCTCGCGAAGCGAGCCACAACAGCACTTGCGAAGAACTCGTAATATTGATACTTGCGAAATAGCGTTCGAAGAAAAAGTACATGCAGTCTATCTGACAGTACCACACACTCGCGATAGATACGAAAGCGATTTAAATCTCGCATCACATAGAACCGCGTAAATTCTATTCGAGTGTTTCGAACGGGGAAGACGGAGCACGTGTGGTACTCCGAATAAATCTTTATCTGTCGGGATAATCCTCACACACAGGGGTGCAATCGGCGACACCGGAGACACTGACGTACTCTCGGATTTAGTTTCAGCCGTGCACTTGCAGCTGGTACCTGCAAAGATGCAGGATCTCACACTCGTTCACTGTCGTGCGTGCGCGCGCGCGCGCGCGGGGGCACACGTGTGCTCGATGTCGATTTAATCGGGAGGCGATACCGGCGCGATAAGACGCGTCTCGTGTTCTCGCGTCGGCGAGGCGAGATCGGTATCGCTCGGGCGGATCGACGTCCCCGTCGTCGTCGTCGTTATGATCGTGCAATCGTCGTCGTCGGCGTCGTCGTCGGCAGCGACTGCCACGAAACTAAAACCAAAACCGAAGACACGCGTTTAGTTTCCCCTACCCGGGACACCCTCGCCCTTCTCGCGCGCGACACACGCACTAATACTCCACTTCACGCACGCACGTATACGAAACGCGGGCACGCACCTACACGCCTAAAACCGCATACGCGCGCGCGCCTTCGGCGCGAGCACGAGGGAATTGCACACTCACACACCCTGGTTCTGGTGCATAGGTGCATTTGCGCGGACGTGAGAGTAATGCTAAATAAGAGTCTAAGTAACGCATGCAAATGCCACAATGAGTAATACCTTTTCTAAAGTGAGGACGTAAAACGAGGCATTTGTCTGCGTTACGTGAGGACTGTAAATTTTATTGATTTTCGTGAAACATACTGAAAATTTAACTAGCTTTATTCTTTAATTCTGTGTCATGGATTCATGACATCATGGCCGTTTATAACTCACGATAGAATGTGGAACTGCAAAATTTTATAATTTACAATTTATATATGTCATGTATTTTGATATGTACATACATATATCAAATTTTTTTAAATATTTCCTATATTACGTATTGCAGATGAAATTTTAAATAGAATTCTGTTCAATTGCAAGTTATAGATCGTCTAAAGCGGATTCTCTTTAGGCATGTGCTATTATAAACTCCATTTTCTTATTTTTATACACAACGTCGGCATAGGTATACTGTTCTTTAAAGAGACTTTTATACATATCCTTCTTTTATACACATCCTTCGAGAAAGATTTTCTTCTGAAAATAGTTACAACGTACCTATAATAGGATTTGAAATAACAACCTTATTTGAGATGTCCAGTTTCCAGAGAAATGCGGCACTACATAATATAAATTTTGCCCGCAGCTAGATATATCAAATCCCATCGAGTTACTCTAGATTCAATTAGTGAATTCTGCGTAATTCCGCCGGGTTTGAATTTCAATGCTATACAGACAATAGAAAACGGTCTACGTGTTCGGTCGCGGCAACGACCGCGCTAGACAGTCGGCGCGAAACATATGTTTACCGTCTCCGCAGGCCATACATATCCGCGATATCGCGAATTGAATCACGCCGAAATTCTGCCTGGTTGCGAAAGTACGCTGTATCGAATACCGCGTGTGCGTTCGTGCGTGCGAGCGAGCGCGCGCGTACACGCACACGCGCGCGTTCCGCTCCGCCGCGCGCGTCTCCGTCCCGATCCTTCCGCCACGGAAAGGCAACCCCGAGCCGAGTGCTGAGTTTGGTGCGCTGGAATAAATGTACCAGGGGTGGGTTTCTGGCGTGTCATTGTACGGACGATTACGCGATGCCGGCCGACCCGGCCGGAGGGGCTGATGGAAACGCAGAGCTACAGTGATCTCGAGCTAGCCGGCCGAGGGTGGAGCGGAGACCGTTGTTGGGTTCCGGGGCGAGCGAGGGTCAGGAATGCGTTCTGAAAGGATCGGACGTTTCCTCGAAGCGTCGCGTCGCCAGCCGCGATGCATCGAATTCTATCTGCTTGTTTGCCCAAGGGCCCCATTGTTGCGCCCGGGGCAGTTTCACGCGCGTGCCACACGATTTCCTGCCTGTCACGCGCGTTCACTAGTCGCGCTCGCGCGACTTTCTGGTTTGCTTTTGTAGCGGGGAAAGGCATTCTGAGATCCTCCGCCGCAGGATCGGGCCTGGTGTTTGCTCTCCGGGAGAGAGCGACTTTGGAAAACAAAATTCTCGAATAGACGGAGAACCGACGCGCGACGTTAGCCTTTCGATCGACGAGCGTACATTCCGTCGAGTCGCGGGGTCTTTATAAACATATTTTCTGTTGGTTAAAAATATTTCACATGTTTTGCCAGGATCAGATCTAATGTTTGCTGTCTGAATACGATTCGCGGTAAATAAAATTCTTGAATTAGACAAATTACTACCAGCTGTCAATTAGGTATCCATTTTTAATGTGATACTTTTTATAATTTTATCTCTTATTATTTTTCCGTAGGCCTTATTAAAAGCTTATTTCTTTGAGCGCGTCATATCCTCTAGAGTGCCACAAATTCCTGTTTGTCACGCGTATCACTTTGCTCGAAAATATCTCGTATCCTCTTAGAGCAGATTTAATGTTTACTCCGATCGAGGTTTCCACTAAAACAAGAGACAAATCCTTAATTTCAGCTTAACCACTTTCCAAGTATGATATGATGTACACAAGCCATAAATGCACATCCAAACTTAGCAAACGCAACTCGCGGGGTAGAGTGACTATTATTATTACTACTAACGTCCTCTCCCGTCGCTATTATTGCTACTATACCATTACTCACCGCGGCTTAGGCTCATTAGGCGAATTTGCTAGGCGCATTTGCGTCGCAAGTTTTGCCAAGCAGAAACGCCCGCGAGAAACGAGAATTTTCGCGTTGTCCCTAGAGCCTCGCGCTCGCTCTCGCCAACATTCGCGCGCTCGTTTCCGCCAGCGTAAACTTCCTATAAATAAAATGCACGCTTCTCCGTCGTTTCCGTTCAAATTTCGTCGCTGCGAAACAAGTAGTAGCGGCACGGCGACCGCGTTCGCGCGCGGCACGCAGGGCCGCACGGGTTTTACGGCGCCTGTAAAACTTTCTAGCCTTGGCGCTTCGGTTCGCAGCATCTCTATTTCGGGACTCCCATCGCCGTTCCGTTCGAGCTCTCCCTCGCTGGATGCCGCGCACTAGCAACCCTCCTCTTTCTCTCTCTCTCTCTCTTTCTCTCCCTCTCTCTCTCCTTTTATCCAACCGGCGTACGCACCCGCGCGACGTAGCACGAGAAGAGCACTTTTCGCCTGCCTCAAGCTCAATGCCCCGTAAGTGATTACCCGGAAAAGTGCTGCAAATTGCGTAATCGTCAACGCATAGTGTGTCGTTAATGAAAGTGGTAGCGATGTTAATATATCGGAAATAACAAGCTGTTAGATACACTCTATTTCAATCGGAAAAATCGAAGATTCAGAGAAGCAGCTTTGAAATCTTAACGGAAAAGGAATAAACCTTAAATGTTCTTAGTAACTTTCGTGCAAAAAGGCTAAACAAATATTTAAAATAACGGCGATAATTGTTGCAGAAGGACAAATATTTGTATTATTAACTCGATGAACGGAAGTTTGTTTCGCAACCGCGGCGGAATGGTGGGTTTGACTTTGACAGTAATTTTAACATTATTTTTCATCGGGCCGCAGTTTATTTAGGCGAACAAATCTCTTTTCACTCTGCCATCGATTTGTTTATACGCAGATGAAGTGAATACGAGCGCGGCGTAGTGGATGCGCGAGCACTCTGGAGGACTCTCGAAACTTTTTATCTATACATCTCCCGTTCACTTATACGTGCCTTAACAAATAATCATTTTTATCAAGCAAGTGATTATTTTCTTTTATTCGTAAAAGGTCTGTTATTTGAAAGGGAACAAATATACGCTGTTAGAAAAACGACACAGGAATTAAATATACTCTCGTAAAACGAGATAACGACGTGATAGTTAATTAGTGATGTATGATTTTATTTAGTAGGTACATCTAGAAATTTACAAAACACATAGGTACATCTAGAAGTTCACAAAACACATGAAATTTAAAGGAATACCACAATTGATAATATTACATATATCGTGTGATGTAATAATCACAATTTGATATATATATCTAATAGATTCTGCAATACTTCTTTATTAGTCCTTTATCGTTGATACTACCTACCGACATCCATTTAATAGCATTTCAATTAATGGTTCACGCCTGCTATCGCGACGCCACGTGGCGCTTATCTCACGATTCATTGACGGGATTCGAATATCAATCGTCTTGATGTCTATCGTATCGAGCGCGGTGCATCTATTTGCCCACATCACAGTGTTACAGTCAGGCGGTTGCGAACATCCCCTCGCTCGACTTGGGCTCCAGCTGCCCCTAAACGATCCCTTTCGCCGCCGTACGCCCGATAGACGTCGAATGCGGTTACACGCACGTGCGTTTCGCAGCGTGTGCTTGAGCGGGCGATAAGCGGACGCCCGAGAAAAGGCAGATCGATATCTCACGTCCCTACGACGCGGCGGATGAGGCCCGCGGTAAGCCCTTCCTGGGCATAAATAATAGAATTACAGGAGAGCGATGTAATTGTTACGAATTGCCGACGTAATTTATGAGTGCCCCCGGGGTGGGTGGCCCCGGGGCGCGCGCGTTTTATCTCACTGCGCTACGCGGACGTTTGTCAAATGAAATAAAGCCATTATTGAGCTGGCGCAACGTGAAATGTCATCGCTGTGTCAACGAGCGTCAGGTAATTTCGCAAAAATTGAATACGTCCTATTGAGATAACTCTGGTTGCACTTTTCAATCGGGCTACGTCCATAGGATCTCGGCGAATTTATTTGAGAAATGTTTGCTCGTTTCTTACACTCGTTTGTGAATTTTTCCGCTTTCGACGAAGAGTCCCGGGAGAAAAGTTCGCGATTGTCCGGGAGAGATTCGACGGATTCAACTCGCCTCGTAAAGCAGCGAGATCCAAGAGCCACTCGAGGCCCTCGAAGTGTATACTAAAACGTGGTTTTTGTCTCTTGTTTTTTTTTATCGCGGTGGAAACGCACACAATATCAAAGTGCTGCTGCGCTCACAAAAACGCTAATGCTCTTTCTTCCCGACGCTTTCGAACGCAAGACAGACGTAGAAATGGATTTTTGATGGTATTCAGAAACGCATTCTTCATGCCGTTTGCTCGAACGTCAAAAAACAAAACGTTGGCAAATAAAATTAACGAAAATTAGCCGTGACGAAAACCCGTGCCACTTTATTGTTATAACGTCCGTGCGTAGCTACTTATGTAGATTCACGCACGGGTTACGCCTTCTCGATTTCCTAGAAGATTAATCGTCCTTATGCGGGCTAAGAAAATTACTCTTCCGGTTCAAAGCGTGTGCGTAAGATCGTAAATTACTACTTCCAATTTATCCCTCCTGACAGACGATGATGCTCGGTTATTA